AGGGTCGCTGGAGCTGGCACCGCCATTGGCGCTGCTGTTGTCAATCTCGGGCAATTGACACTTTTATGGCCCTTCTGATTGCAATGAAAGAAAATCAGGTCTAATGTCAGAAAGGTGGGGGTAAGGGCAGTACAATCCCTACCAAGGTGCCTAGTCTTGTCGTACTTATAGCAGCCCGATGTCCCTAACCTGCAAGCTCCCTCATGTGACTTTCCGCATTTCCCACAACGGCCCCGGCCCTGCGGGCCCTTCGACCTAGAGTCGGATCCCTTGGGTTTCTTCCCCGAAACCCCAGTAACCTGCTCAGTCTCCGCCTTCCTCTTCCAGATGTGCTCGATGTCAATCTCCCTCTCCCTCGTCCTCTCAATCATGTCATCCAATGTCGGGCATGCCGAGTAGCTGACATGTTTCCTAATGTCAGCTCTCAACATGTCGTGGTATCGAGTCTTCCACATCTCCTCATCCACTGCATACTGAGGCACCAGTAAGGCCCTCTCCCTGAACTTTGCGGTAATCTTCGCCACCGACTCCGTCGTCTGCCTCATATCCATAAACTCCCTGGCCAGCTGCTAAAGCTCCACAGCCGACGCAAACTTAGCCCTAAACATTGTCACAAAGTCCGACCAAGTCATATCCTCAATGGCTGCCGCTCCCAAGGAATCACTGACCTCCTCCCACCAATCTCGAGCTCGGTCCCTCAAACATCCTGTAGCATACCACACCTTCGACCCCTCAGGGCAGAAGCTCGTCAACTGAGCAGACTCCATGTCTGCAATCCATCTACGGGCAACGATGGGGGTCCTTCACCCCATGGAAGTCTGGCGCACTACATCCCCTGAAATCCTTGAAGTAGAGTGTGTGTTTCCCTGATTGAGTGGCAGCCATGTCACTCCGAAATGCCCTGAGGCGATCCTCCATCTGCTCGATAATCCCTTCCTTGATCAACCCGAAAATCACCGGGGTTGACTCAAGGATGCCTCTCGTGATCTCAGAAGCAATGAACTCACGTAGTCCCTCATAAACTTGCTAGGCACCCGATCCCAAACCTGATCCTGACCTTGAACCTCCCCCTCCGTGTCGCGTAATCACCACAATTCTGAAACAAAACACATAATTTTCAGGGTCATACATAACCTCGAGAGGTCTCCCACATTCTACAAGTTCCCTGGTTCTATCTTAGCCCTCCTTGACTCGAGTACGGGTCCTCTGCTTTCAGTAGTACGGGCCCGTACTACCTTCCACATCTATCTGTACTTTCCTCAAGGATTTCCTTGACTTCACCAAGTCCCTTCTACCACTACTGCTTACCGCACTAATCTCAATCCTAGGCTCAACCTAGGGTAACTTTCCGACCTACTCTCCACTATCAGCTGCATAAGGATCTCTACTACCTTTTCCTAACTAGCTTGCGAATACCATTACATATCACTAAGACCAGATAATTCTTCGAATGAGAGGTCCTACCCCACAACAGTTGGACTCAAACAAGAGCTGCGCAATAGGACTAGACCTAACCTTCTGAAATTATTTAGTGCTCGCAATATGTAACTTAACGTATTTGCTTACTGGTTAGCTAAAGATAACTAGAGCCCCTAAAAGCACAAAGCAAGAAGCATTCGAGCATTGGGCAACCATACCAAACATATCCTACTCAAGCCATCATATTACTGACTAATCAGTTCTAGCATGTAACTCAATAAGCACATATAGCAGGCACATAAGGCATCTCCGTAGATCCTTGGTCCTAATCTAGCATGCGGTTCTCATACAAAGACAATAGGCATATAAGGCATCATTCCTAGATCCTTAGCGCTAATCTAGCATGCAGTTCTCATAATCATATCATAACATAAAATGTATGGGTATCTTGGAGAAAACTTACTTGAGCTTGGTCGGTGGCACGCATCACACACCTTGTACTTTCTCAAAACTCCTTATTAAAAAACTATTTTCTTGTAAAAAACTTTCAAACCCTCAATTTGAGTCCAGACACCCCCGAAGGTGTGTCCGAATCCCTCAAACCAAGGCTCTGATACCAACATGTAACATCCCAAAAATCATGACCGAAATTTTTGCTTTTCATTAAGTAACTTATAAAATTGTTTACCGAAAAACATCATCGAATCATATCATTTCATAAAAAGATAGTCACATGTCTCAAACCATATCATTAAATAGTATCAATGTCAGAGTACAATCCCATGAATCTCATAATGTGGAAATCCTGTGTGTGTGATGCGCTGTTATCGTGCCGACTCCTTCCCCTTCGATTAAGAGGTACCTGAACACAAAACTGAAAATTGTAAGCACAAAGCTTAGTGAGTTCCTCCATCATGACACATACCATACGATAACATACAGTCAAGCATATATGGGTTCCCGACCTACCCCCTTCAGCATCTTTCAACTGGTAACTGCCTAGCGTATCTGGGTGCCGGCCTACCCCTTCGGTCTCTTTCAACCGGATACTGCCTAGCATATCTGGGTGCTGGCCTACCCCTTCGGTCTCTTTCAACCGGATACGGGGACTATTTCACCCCTACCACTACCACATAATCACATAGAATACTAGTATATATGCATAACAGATAGTGGCATACCAGAAAGATATCACAAAGACAATCATCTCAACTACAACAACCTACTAGTGGGCCGACGTTGGTGCCTTAGACGCACTTCTACTGGAAGGTAACTCACCTCAATGTCGTGAAGTGTTTGAACTGTCCTCGGTGATGGGTTCAACTCCTCTCAAACTCCTACACATAATAACCTCCCTTAATTACCATTTCATACTCCTAACCCTTTCAAGGGTCAACCCAGATCAAAGTCAAAGTTAAGGTCAACACCCTGGCCAAAGTCAACTTCTGGTTGACTCAACTCGACGAGTTGGTCCACCAACTCGTCGAGTTCCATAACCCACAACACCTTGGAACTTCGATCCTACTCATCGAGTCTTTCAAGAACTCGTCGAGTTCTCCTTCATACAGAATCGGGGCCTTTTGCTTATGACTCGCCGAGCTCATCCGGGAACTCGTCGAGTCCTGCTTCATACTAGTTGAAGTGTTTAGTCCTTGACTCGCCGAGTTCTTCCTTGAACTCGTCGAGTTCTTCTTCATATAGTTGGGACTTGCCTTGAACTCGCCGAGTTCCATGATCTTCAAGTCCATAAACGAGCCCAACTTACTGAGTCCTCTTCAAAACTCAACAAGTTGCTCAATATCAGAAAAGATTGAGGAAGCTGCGACCCAACTCGCCGGGTCGCATGGGCGACTCGTCGAGTCCCTCAATGACCAAATCAAAATACTTTTTAGTTATATGTTTTGTTTTTTTTTTGTTTTTTGAATGTCATAATAAAATAATCACGGTCACATGTTTTAATCTTTTATATTCAAAATCATTAACTTTAGAAATACATATGAAATTAAACTGTCATCATAAACCACTAATAGTCACATGTTTTTTTTTAAATGTCATAATAAATTAATTACAGCCATAATGATCTAACGTGACTATTGACTAGTATTTATCATATTTTTATGTAAAACAGTGACGAAATGTGTGAACATAGTTTGCAATGGTGACGGTTTTTAGTTAGTATATAACTAAAACATCACTGGATTATGATTAATGACCTTTAATGATGTAATTAACCAAACCTGTGACAACCCTTTTTCCAAAAGGCATGGTCATAAATCATTTTTGTTGTAGTGACAACTTATCCTCTAAATTAAAGAGAAGTCGTGACTATTTCATAGCAAGCATGGAATAATGTAAAGATGACATGACATATGATCCAATAACCAAAATGGTGTCAAGAGTGTGGCGCATACCTCACTGGCCTTACAAAAAAAATCATAGCATTATTTATCAACACAAAAACCAAATACAATAAATGAGGTTAGAAATTCTGGAAACCCATATGTAAAAGTTTTACAATTATGGTTTATAACAAATAGACGTTGATTTCATTTTACACTTGTGGATTACAGGATTCCCTATATAACTCGTATGAAATAGATGTTAATTAATTTTTAAAATTATGATTTACGATATATTGATGCTAATTATATATATATTGGTTAGTCGGCATAAGAGACTGTTAATTAATAACCAAAATATGGTCATTTCGCTTAGCCACTTATACTGATCGACCAATATTATTATTTTTTTACCGACGTCCCTAAAAGGTAAATCGATTCCACAAAAAGACATCTGCAGCCTAGATGGTTACTTTTACACCCTGTTTCTGAGTTCAACTTAACGAGAGAAAACAAAGGGAATTAGTGGAAATGACAAGAAAGTAAACGAAATTGGTGTTCTAGGGTTTCATTAAAGGAGAGAAGTGAAAGGAAATAAAATGATCATTTTTCCTCCTAACTTTAATTGTTTCCGATTTGGAAGTATTTAGAAGGATTTGAAAAGAAATAACAAAATTTTTAATTTTTCTTCCACTTCTCTCCAACTCCGGAACACACAAAAGACAACTTTTTTTTTTTTTTTTTTTTTTTGGAACCTGTGAACACATGTCACATATCACATATGGGGGAGGAAGGAGCACGTGAACATCTATGGGCTATAATCCAGGCATCATTAATCACAGGAAAAATAAATTTAAAAAATAGAAGCGTCTGACCAATTACATGAGAGTGATAGAGGTATAAAATAATGCAGATGATTAATTTATAATTGTTATTAGTTTACAAGAGAAGTGTTGGTATATGGTTTGCAAATATACGTATAAATATCAAGAAAATTTTAAATTTGATTATGAAATCGTGTGCCAGCTGCCAACAAAAAAATATTTTACACTTCAGTTATGAAATTATTATATTATTAATATTATAAAACGTGTTTTATAAAATATTGTGCTTCGGTGAGAAAAAATTTCGAATCCATACAAACACAATATCTTCCACCTAATAACTTCTCGTCTCCCTATATAACAAGCCTCGGCTACGCATTCATATCATAAAACTTTCACACCTATACACATTTATAAGATGGAAACAGTACTGGTGAAAACTGAAAGCAAGCCACATGTAGTGTTCGTACCATATCCAGCACAAAGCCACATTAAGTGCATGCTGAAACTAGCAAGGCTACTGCACCACAAGGGTGGCCTAGACATAACCTTCGTCAACACTGAGGTTAACCACAAGCAATTACTCGAGTCCGGAGGGCCAAACTCTCTTGATGGTGAACCAGGGTTCCAGTTCGAGACCATTCCCGATGGTGTTCCCGAGGGTACACCAAACTTCATGTATGCAGTCACTGCCTCTATTCTAGTCAACTTCTTGGATCCCTTTCTTGACCTTATGCGAAGGTTAAAGAATCCAGGTACTTGTATTCTTGCTGATGGTATGATGCCTTTCACCGTTGACGCTGCTGAGAAGCTTAAAGTCCCGATCATCCATTTTTGGACATTTGCTGCTTGTGCTTTCATGGGATATTACCAAGCTCCAGTTCTAATTGAGAAAGGACTTATCCCATTTAAAGGTTAGCTTCTTAACTCCCTACATTTCTCAAGCAAATTATAAAAATCTTGAAGTTGATATTGTTGTGTATACGTGTATATAAGAAAATAAGGACGAAGAATCGTAAGTGGTAATTTACTTTTGTTTAGAAAATGTTTACTTATTTGTTCATTATATATTATAACTTATTTGTTGACGTACCTAAGATTTGCTATTGTTTCAGATGAAAGTTGCTTCACCAATGGGTATCTTGACACTGTAATTGATTCGATTCCGGGATTAGAAGGATTTCGTTTAAAGGACCTTCCGGGTTATATTAGAACCACAAACCCAAATGATGATTCCTATAATTATGTCGTTGAGTGCGTAAAGGCAACTAGGAGGGTCTCAAACATGATCATCCACACATTTGAGGAGTTAGAGTCAACCGTCATCAAAGCCTTCAAATCCATGATTCCTCATGTGTATACGATTGGACCATTGGAGTTGCTTCTAAATCCAATACAACTTGAAGAAGAAACAAATAAGTTGGATATTAAGGGCTACAGTCTGTGGAAAGAAGAAGATGGGTGCCTTAAATGGCTGGAATCAAAGGAACCACATTCGGTGATTTATGTCAATTTTGGAAGCTTAATATCAGTGTCTTTAGAACAGTTGCTAGAGTTTGGTTGGGGACTTGCTAATAGCAACCATTATTTTCTTTGGATCATCAGACCTGATTTGGTTATTGGAGAGTCTGCTGCCTTGCCTCCTGAACTCCAAGAGCTTATTAATGAGAAAGGCTTTATCGCAAGCTGGTGTTCCCAGGAGGAAGTGTTGAAACACCCTTCAATTGGTGGCTTTTTGACTCACTGTGGGTGGGGTTCAACCATTGAGAGCTTAACGGCTGGGGTCCCCATGCTATGTTGGCCATTTTTATGGGACCAACTAACTAATTGCAGGCAAATGTGCATGGAATGGGAAGTTGGCATGGAGATCGATCATAAGGTGAACAGGGATGAAGTCGAGAGGCTCACGAAGGAGTTGATAGGAGGAGAGAAGGGTAAACGAATAAGGAGCAAGGCTCTGGAGTGGAAGAAAAAGATTGAAATTGCAACTGGTCCGAAAGGCTCATCTTCATTGAATATTGAGAAACTTGCCGATGACATTAATATGTTTCCAAGAAAGTAACTACCAGAAACTTGCTAAAGTTCCATGTTTTTGTTTTTAATTTTGCATAGCTCTTTTATTTTTTTAATAAAGCGTAAAAGGGGTAAACTGAAATTTGGTTGTAAGATGTATTTGCGTTAGACTCAAATTCAAAATTATTTCAGTTCTATTTATGCTATACGATGTCCGTCCACATTAAAAATGATGATTTTGAATCCATATGTATTACATTCCGAGTTAGGTTTTCTCATAAGATCACATCGAGATGTATAATTGAGAAAAAATGTATGAAATTTTGCATAAGATCACATCGAGATGTATAATTGAGAAAAAATGTATGAAATTTTGCGAGGGTATACAAGTGAATTGAGTGGTTGGAGGACATTATTCTTGTATTTTTTTTGTTCATAGTTCCATTAAGCTTTAGAGGTTATGATAAAATATCAATGTGTCATTCTAATCTATATAGACAATATACAATTTATTCATTACAATCTTAATTCACTACTCACTTCCAAGAGTATGAACGATTGTGAAATTTTGGATAATCAAATCATTCAGGAAGTAAAACATCTGGAGTGAAACACAAGAATAAATAATTGAAAAAGACAGTACGATACTCATAAATAACTCTCTATTATTCACTCACCAAAATTAATTACATATATTTTGTTACAAAGCTTCAAACAATCAACTAACTACTAAAACTAATTTCATCTCTCAAGTCAATGATCCTAGCATGCTGGTTGTGCTTAGCCCTGCTCAGAGCCTTCGTCATAGGATCTGCAGAATTGTCTTCTGATGATATTTGTTTCATCAGAAGATTCCTTTCTTCAACGTTATGTCTGATGTAGTGGACTTTCTATCGATTCCCTTTATTATTTTAGAACAGTTCCATCGACTCTTGAATGGTCGGGACTACTCCGAGATCTCTGATTTAATTCTTCAACAAAGTCGCTTGCTTCGATGTCTCACTTGCTGCGATCTACTTTGATTCACAAGTAGAGCCAGCCATCATTGACTACTTGAAACTCTTCCACGTCATTGCTCTATCATTCAATAAGAAAACTCATCCATATTGAGAACAAAAGTTGTCAACATCTGTTTGAAAGGTGACGTCACTGTAACCACTCATACTCAACCTATCTTTGCCTCCAAGAACCAGGAAGATGTCTTTTGTTCTTTGGAAATACTTGAGAATGTTCTTGACCGTTATTCAATGGGCTCTATCAGGATTTGCATGAAAGCTACTAACAATGCTCAAAGCATAAGCCACATCAGGACGAGTACATGTCATAACACACATGATCGATCCTATTTCCAAAGCATGTGGGACACGACTCATGTCATCTATTTCTTCCTTAGTATTGGGACTTTAAGTCTTACTCAATTTGACAATACAGTGAATGGGTAAATTCCTTCTCTTGGAGTTCTCAATATTGAAACGCTTCAATACTTTATCCAAGTATGTTGTTAGAGTCGAAGTGTTGTAATTAGTCGAAGTATGTTTTGGTGTCTTCGAACATTTTGTAATCTATTTTACTAGGGCATTGTATTCGAAGCTTAACGCTTAGTCCTTAGTATATTTTTTGTACGCTTTCCTCTCCTATAAATATGAGTGTTTACTAGAGTCTTGGTAACGAGTCTTTACAGAATTGTAATTCGAACTCTGTAAAACTTGAGAGCGTAATAGAGGTGAAACAGATTATATTTACATTCTGTGTCCAAATCTCGTATCATTACTTGAATTCATACTCTGATTAATTCATAACTCGATTCCTTGTTTCATCAATTGGTATCAGAGCAGGAATCATATCTCTGATCTGATTTTCATCTTTTCAAAAGTTTTTAAATCAAGTTTTTGGTTTAAGAAATTCCACACCTTTTGAAAGTGAAAAATTCATTGGATCTTAGTCTGTGATTCGATTCTGCACTTGAATCATTGAATCGAGTGTTCTGCTAGTGATTCTGATTTGAATCATATAGTTTGTTGTCAAATTCTCAAAGTTTTTCAAAAATTCTCAAGGATTTATTCCGTACATCAATGGCGTCTTTCAATCTTAATTCCATGACTTCATTTTCTCATCTTCTAGGATCATCCACCAAAATTCCTATGCTAATCCCTAAGTATTACGATCAATGGGCTGATCGTATGCAGGATTATCTCAACGGATTGGATGAAGAACTGTGGAATTGCATTTCTAGCAATATCAATCCACCAACGAATGTTCAACCAATTGGATCATCATCTGGAAATTCCGAAGTTGAGAATCAAACTGATCGTCTGAAAAAGCTTGAGAAGAGATGCGTGAGAGAGCTAAGAGGTGCTTTGCCTCCAGTTGTTTACAACTATGTGAGGAGTTGTACAACTGCAAAGGAAATCTGGAACAATATCAAGGAGAAATTTCAGGGGAGTGAGAAGACGAAAGTTAATTCTGTGAAGCAATGCTTAGTGGAACTGAAGGACTTCAGACAGAAAGATGGTGAAACGATTGAAGTTTACTCTGATCGTTTTAATGAACTAATCTATCGATGCAATCGATATGGTATCACCAGATCAGCCATGGAGTTCAATTTAATTTTTGTTATGGGTCTTCGTAAGGAGTGGCGTAGTGTGAGCATGATGGTTAAAAATCAACAGAGTTTTGATACGTCGACTTTGAATGACTTGTACAATCAGCTGAAGTCTCATGAAAGCGAAGTGAACGAAATTGCTGAAGAATCGAAGGCAAGTTTGGGAGGTCCACTAGCTTTAGTTTCGAAGATCTCTGAAAGGGAAGCTGAGAAAGATGTTTCAGACGAAGACGAAGGGTTCATCATGAACTCAGATGATGGGCGATTGCTTTCTATTCAAACAATCGTGTGAAAAAGTTCTTTAAAAAGCCATTCAATCCGAAGGCAAAGTCATCTGAGACAAAAGGAAATTTTATGAGTAAAAGTGCTGGGGATGAGAAGAAGAAGGAAGAGAAGACAGATACGAAGTTTAGTGAGGGAAAAACTGAGAAGAGTTAAAGGGAGATGCTGGGATTGATTGTCATTATTGCAATGAGGCTAATCATTTAGCTAATGATTGCATGCTGAGGAAGAAAGATGAGAAAAAGAATAAGACAAAGGATGAAGCGTATTATGTGGAAAAGTTGGAGGAGGTGCGTGCGAAGGCAAAGAATCTTTCATTAGTTGCTCGTGGTGAACAAGAAGAAGATGGGACTTATCAAATCTGGTCATCTAGATCAGATGATGAGGAAATGCGAAATCCAACCCACGGAGCAATGTATGCAAAATTGGAGGAAGAATAAGATGAGGAGGCATACGAAGTTCATGGAAGATGCTTCGTATCAAAAGCTGCTGACAAATCTCCGATGACCACAAAGGTACGTAATATTCTTGAATCTTTCAATATTCCAGTAAATGCTTATAATTCTGAATTAGTATCTTTCGATGAAACTGTTACTTATTTTGATTCAATTGTGGTATCTGCTACCAATGAGGCTAAGAAGCTGTCTATGCAGTTGCTAGAGACACAGAAGAAACTAGATTCGAAAATTACTAAGATAGATTGTTTAGAACTTCAAATAATGAATATCATGGTTGATAGGGATAATTTGTCTAGTGAAACTAAACTGTTGTTAGCCCAGAGGAACATTTACTGTAATTCGGCTAAAAGATTGTATGGGAAATTAACTGAACTACATCATTCATGCGAAATCAGTAAAGAACAACATAGAAAATTGCTGCCATTTTTAGCTTATGAAAGAGCTACGATAGATAACATTTCGTATGATTGTGAAAAAGAAATAGCATATTTTAACAAAGTTCAGAATGATAAGTATAGATATGGAATAGTCAAAATAGATGAATGTCTTGATTCAACTGAATTAGTTAAAATTGTGAATGATACTTTGACTAAATCTGAACAAATTCACATTTTGAAAAAGACTGAGAATTCAACATGTGATTCTCAATCTAATTTTGCTGATATTGAAGATAATTCTGATAATATTAGTGAAATTAGTGAACTAGAAGATGTTGATTGTTCTCAGTTGTCTGTTGTTAATGTTGCATCAACATCTAAAGGGAAAGAAAAAGTTAAGGATTTGATGGTTGAAAATGAAACTGATATACCCTCAACTTCGAAAGATTGTGATATGAACTTCGTGGATCTCAAAGACAGCCAAACTGATGATAGTGATGATGACGATGAAGAGACCATTTTGAATGAAAAGAAATCTTCAAAGGAAGAAGAAACTCCTCGAATAGTGGTTGATCAAGTGTATGGTGATACACAAAAGTTCGAAAAAGTAATGAATGAAAAAGGTGAACATTATCTTGAAACGAACACAGCGGTTTATCCAAATTTCAAATGCACAGATGATGTCATTTTTCCCAATCAAGTTTTTGTAACAACTGGTAATGTTGAGAATATCAAAACAGAATTAAAGAAATTGGTTGAAGAGGATAATTCAAAAACAACTGACGAGGGTTTTTTCGCAAATCAAAGCACAGTTGAAAACAACTTAACAAAGAATTCGTATGTGTTTCAACGTCAAAAACCACAAAGACAATGGGTTGAAAAATCAAAAATTGAGAAAGAGAATTCAAAACATGTGGAAAAAGAAAATGAAAAGGTTGTCAAACTAAACTCTAAGGAATTTAAAGATCAAATTGACAAATTTTCGAAGGAAAACAACATTTCGAAACGACAAGCAAGAAAGAAAATATTTTGGCAAAATGTTGAGTCTCAAAAGATGTCTGAATCACAAACAACCAAAAATGTTTTCAAAGCTAAAAATTCCTCTTTTTCAACAAAAACCCAAAATTCAACTCAATCAAATCATACAAGGTCTGAAGTGAATAAACAAACAAAGTTTTCGAAAGTTTCAGAAACTAACAAAACAAGAGCATTTTCAAATAAATCTAATACAAATCAAAAATTCTTTCAACGTCAACATTTTAAATCAACAGTTGATACATCTTATAGTCAATCTTTTATAACAAAACCAAAAGTTGATTTTGTTCCTCAAAAACCAAATTTTCCTAATCATACGAAGAGAGATACAATGAAAACTTCACGGGAAAAAGGAATAACTTCAAGAAAGAACATTGATCATTGGCTTGAAGGCAAAGGAAAGGTGTATCAGTCGAAAGCATATTCAAAGGAGCAAATTCATGAAGCATATGAAAAGTATGTGAATACTTCTTCGAATGGAAGTTCATCTTCTAAGGATTCGAATATCTCG